TTTACGCCCAATGAAAGATTTGTGCCATCATTTGACCTCCGGTGCAAATGGCGGGTGTGTCTGAAAGATAGTGTCCGTAGCAACGGGTTCATTGCGTCGCCAACATTATGAGCAGGGAAAGGTGATTTAATGGTTTGCTTGATGTGATGTCCAGCTTGGATATTGGATGCATGTGGGTAGTCCGTTCAAATGTACGACGAATCTTTTCAACGGGAACGTGGAGAAAGAATGGACTGTACTTTCGGTAGTCTGGTGGTTTAGGAGTGGACTCGGTGGCTGGGATAGTGATGTGGTCTTTAGACGGGATGGTATCAGTATCAAATGAGAATAGACGGATTCTGCAAGGATGCACGGTTGGTTGAGGTTGCAGACAATCTTGTAGCCTCGAGAAAGGTAGCATGTTGATGCGCAGTGGATTCTCGTCTAGTGGATGATTGCTTCAACTGTGGGTGCAAGATGCGGTTCACGGTGTTTTTAATTTCCTTGTGAATCAAAGCATAGTTGGGTGGTGATCATCTCGAGTTTGATTACGATTGTACCAGTCGTCGTGATCACTTGTCTGAAGTCGAGGACTTTGGGATCCCATAACTCCCCAGATGTCAGAATGACATGGGTGAGTTTGTAAGTTCATGGTCGGAAGGAGGGCAACATTCGCATGTACGGGAGTCCATTGACAATATCAGAGGAATGATGAAGCCATCGTTGGTGTGGATGCTGTCTGCCCCACATAGGAGGATCGATCATCGACTCGGTTTCTTGTAGTGCTCGATCTGACCGGATTCATGGATGGTACGGTTATACCATGGTAGGCATATTGTCGTAGCACAACGATGATGGGACCGCGGTGCGAGGTGACTTTACCAACTCCATCGACGATCTTCAGACCGTTCATCTCATGGTTGTCGATGCCAGTGACATAACCTGTCGTTGGTGTGTAACCATGACGCGAGATCCTTACCAAGGATCCCGCCGTTGGCTCCCCTATCAACAAGGGAACCGCGATCGTTCTTATGTCGAATCACAGTGGTCTGAACTGCGTATCGATATATAGAACGAGTGTTGTCATCTGCATCGGGGGTACCGCCGAAGGAGTGGCGTGACAGTGTACCCCGAAAGGTATGGCAATAGCCGTTTGTGAAGAGGCCTGTGGACCACATTGGCTTAGTGTGTTCCGGCCTGATGAAAATCCTGCTCGTCGTCGAGTCTTGAAGAGCAGCGAAGGAGTTGGATGCATCTCCAGTGTGATACTGTTGTGATACATCGGAGGGGCGGTAGGAACTGTCGGAGCTCCTGGATTCAGATGAGCTGGATGAGAGCAGGTCCTGTCTGTAACCGGGCGGTGACATGAGGTTGCAGATTGATCCAAGGGTGCCTGTGGTCGTCTTGGACGATTCCTTCTTTTTGGACTTGCCCTTTCGGCCTCGAGATTTGGAAGAGTGACAGTAACAAACCCAGAGGAATCTGGAGTGCCGTCGGAGACCGGCGTGGTTGTAGGGACCGCGGCAGAGATGCCATTGCTGTTGCAGTGCGAGCGCAGCAGGAGTCTGTCTGAGCACTGCGTTGTCGGACAGCCTTGCGGATTCATGGGTGCCTTTGATGTGGCGCATGGATGGGTCTTCCGGGAAGTCAGCCTCGTTTGGTGTCGCGAAACTGAGGTCAGTGTCGATATCGGCTCCAACATCGGAAGAAGGGTCAGTTGGAGTTGGGAAATATCGAGCGTAGCGAATCCGGTCAACAGCGGGTATCTCCGCAATAGGTGCTTCTGTGACGGGTACTTCTTCCGCTGTAAGATTGGCCAAGAACTGTTGCTCGAGCTTGGTGGCAGCTTGGCGTTGACGAAGCAAGAGTGTATCTCCAGGTTGCTGAATCTGATGGTATGGTGGACCATGAGTGTGCCAATCACAGGAGGTGTCGTAGGTTCTAGCTGTGCCTCCATGGTGAGGGATGCGCCGACGTGTCCAGAGATCGAAGGGTTCATCGCACAGAACTTGCGGTTCGAAGGTGTGGTACCCTTCATGATCCTCTTGGATTTGCTGTTGGGTATTCGTATCAATAGCCTCGTATTGGGAGGTACCGTAAGCAAACTGTGAGAAAGCCTGATCATCGGAAGGAAGGATTGTTTCTCCATCATCGAGTGCGGGCATTGGAGGATCCGCATCGTTGGGTACTCGAGGAGGTCCAATGGTGTCGTCGTATCGCCACGAGAGTTTTGTGTTTGGCTGTCTTCGGATTCATCGAGAAATATACGAAGGGTTGCCAATCAGGTCAATCTCTGGCTCGCTGAACAACATCTGTGGGAGTATGACTCGTAGGATGAGCGATCAACTCGTGGACTCGTACCTCGCGTGTATCCGTATTGGTCGACTGTGATAAGACGGACGCGATATCACCGGCGAGGACGTTGGCGTTGAATGCGTCTTGTTGCACGCGAGCTGCAATAGGCAGTGTTCGTCTTGTGGATTTGGTTTGGTGCGAGACACTTCTAGGTTGCCTCTCGTGGCGTGGTGCTGCCATGTCGAGGAGATCGTGAGAGTTGACTGAGCGGGATGGGCGTGATTGCCCAGAGTTGTGGTGACTACGTCGAACAGCTAGGTCAGCCGTGTAGTCAAGAATGCTCTTCTTGCCCTGCTTCGGAGATATTATCCCATGCCTCTTGATCCGACTTGGACAACGACCGCCATGTGGTTGCGTTCATCATGACCTTGCGTGGACCGCGAGTGTCTGTCTGATGAGCTTGCAATAGGACTTCCACCGGTTGTATCCATATCATGGACGAATGCCTCATAGGTGTCGCCACAGGTTTCCGCTGTACCATCGTCGAAGATAATTTCGTGTTGGTAGGTGCGACGACGGGCGTTGCTTCGAGAGCGTGTTGGACGTCGCATGATTTGCTTGTCATGGAGTTGTGCTTGCTCGAGAAGGGCCGCTCGGTACTGCTCGAGAGTATACTGGGAGGTGTCGCCTGCAGCTTTCTGGTCTGCATTGCGAGACGTCGTAGGGAGCGAGATTTGGTGCCTTGAGATTGAGCGTTCCAAGAAACGTGCCCCTGTTGTTCAGTGTATGGCCTCGCTGATCTCATTGTACTGCCGAAATTGTTCGAGGAAGTTGGAGATGAAACCGCTTGGGACCCTCTCCATCCTTCTTGCGATATCGGCGGAGGTGAGATAACACGAAATCTTATCCGAGCGCAGGGTTGCGACCATGGACTTGGAGTAATAGTCGTCAATTGCCTTCCAGATCGCGCGAGTGTCCTTGCTGGTTTCGTTGGCAAGGACGACAGATCTTGCCTGTGCTTCTAGGAAGATGTCTTTCGAAGGTCTTGTACATCCATTCTCGTTGTTTCTCGTCTAGTTCGACGTTGGTGACCGTGAAGTCAGAATCAATGAGGTGGGAGAGACCTTGAGACTTGAGCGTGTTGAGGAAATTCTTCCTCCATTTGATGAAGACTTGATTCATCGCGAAACTCTTGAACTCTGAGCGGACGGGCTTATTGTTCTTGTCCCAAAGTGCGATTGCACGTCCCCATCGGTCATCGTGGATCGCTGCGTCTCATTTGTTGCCATGGGACGATTTCGCCGTGTGGCTGGAAGAGTCCAACTGAAAGCGTCGAGTGCGTCGGCCGTCAGTGTTACGACGCGGATGGGTGCCTTCCTCCTGGACGACCAATGGTGATACATCTGTATCGCCGCGAGCAGTAGTTTCTTCCTGGTGAGAGCTACTGGTCTCGCATTGCCGTTGGTGTCGTTGGAAGCTTGGAGATCCATAATTTCATCTTTGGTGAGAAGTAGGAGATCCATCCATCGTCGATTCCTTGTTCAGACAGTCGATGCGCATGTGAGATGCTTGTACCCTGTGGTGGTAGCATCTTCGCCGCATAGGGTGCATAGGACATGCTTGAGCTTGGTTGCTTCATCGGCCATCTTGATGAAGGTGCAGTGCGTAACTGCGACTAGTTAATCTGCTAACGTGAGGAAATACTACTTGAATAGAGGGATCTTGTAGAGGTAGCTACCGCCCGACGAGATCAACTGCAACTATTCAAGACGAGTGCAAGGTAATGCAAAGTTCGCTTCTTAGTAATTCATAATCTGTGTTGTGAGCTTTGATTGATGCGATCAGTAACGCTAGTTGTAGCGTGTTGGATCAATACATCGTGGTAGTTGATACGGAAGTCAACGTGGTATTTGCGGGAAACGGTTCGTTGGCAGGATGCTTTACTCCTGTCGAATACTCCAATTTACCGTGTCCTTTTTGGTTTCGTTGAGAACGTGTTCTTGCCAGCGTTCTCTGTTCCATCGTGTTGACTCATAAAACATGACCCAATCTACTCACGGATACTCTGAGTCGTGGGAGGAACTGTAACGCTTTCAAGGAGTACGGTATCGGCCGATAGTAGAGGTGCAAACGATCGAACGATCGAAGAGGAGGTGCAAACGATCGAACGATCGAATGACAGTCTTCGGTTGAGAATAGAAAGCCATCCCTCATTGCAGAGTATGGAGTGCGGGATGGCTTTCATTTCTTGGCCTTTGACTGAATGATACCGGTAGTAGAGGTGTCGAAGAGGTCGGAATGGTGTGTTTTGAGTCTTGTTATCTCAGTCTTGTTATCTCAAAAAGTAATCACTTCTGTTAAGTCTTTGTTTGAGTCCTTTAAATCCACCATGCTGATAGAATATTGGTAGCCCACCAAGTGATCACTTTTGTTAAATCTTTTTTGAGTCCTTTAAGTCCAGTATTGTTCCCATGAATTGTTTAGTCAATTTTTTGTTTAGTCGCCATGGTAGACAGCATGTTTTGACTAAAAACTCGACTAAATTGTTTAGTCCGAGATTTAGTCATCTGCTGGTAGACACCACCATTACTAAAGGATAATGACTAAATCTTGAACTAAACAACCACCTAAAGGATTCCTTTAGTCCCTACTTTAGTCGCTCCGGTAGAGACCGGCCTAAGTACGCAGAGCATGATGCCATCAACACCATTTGATTTGCCATCCGACACAGATGCCTGCATACATATAAAAAAATAAAAAATATAAAAAAATATATAAAAAATAAATAAATGCATAGTTTGAACTTGGTGTGATTTAATTCAGTCCCGCCGAATCTTCTTTCAATTCACCAAAATCCATTTGCAAATCCTCCCCTCAGTGCTCTTTCGCCATGGCACAACCTCGGATTGCCGTCGTGGGAGGAGGGATAGCGGGTACTTTGTGCTCTCTGGTGCTGAAGAATCGAGGCCTTCATGCGACGTTGATTGATGCTGGGCGAAGAGGCGTTGGAGGGCGATTGCGGAACCATGGGGCTCAGTTCCTAAGGGCAGCCGATCCACGGCTTACCACCGTAGTAGGCATGTTGGAGCATCAAGGCTTGGTAGCTCCGTGGAAAGGAAAATTTGGAATGCTGGGGTCTTCTGGTGGTGGATTCCTGCCGGCAGAAGTAGTGAGTCAAAACATGGGGATTTCTAGGAGAATGGAAGAGCAGAAATCTGCAGAAGAAAACAGCAAGGATACCCTTAATACCCCAGCCTCGGATGGAGGCGATTTCTGCAACTTCGTCGAAGGATCACATGTTCCAGCTTATGTTGGAACTCCCTCCATGACTGAGCTTTGTCCTCAAATCAGTCGATTGGCTGGTATTGAAGAAGTGAACGACTGCAAGCTCGTCGACGCTACACCTTTGCGGGAAGGTGGATGGAATTTGCAAGTCGAAAGCAGCAATGGTGACACTGTTATTGATCCCACGGAAAAATTTGATGCCTTGGTTTTGGCTACACAAGATCCATCCCTGGCTTCTGGAGTTATTCGGTCGATTGTGGACGCTGAAGTAAAGGTTGGAGGCTATGCAAACCTAGAAGAAGCTACTAGCTCGACCGACGATGCCTCGTTGGTCATTGGAAGACTGGGGCAAATTGCAGACTCGCTGCAGCGAGTTCGAGATCAGGATCGAGTGCCAGTGTTTGCAGTCTCGCTCAAATTTCCAAACGGTTTTTCCCAGGGTATCCCATTCGATGCTGTGAGCGTGCCCGCGAGCCAAACAGTGCAACTTTTGGTCCGGGAGGCTTCCAAACCAGGCCATGTTCAAGAAGAACACATGGATGGAGAATGGTGGACGGCTATTACGACGTCACGGCTGGCATCCCTGGTTCTAGGCCATTCAGACCTGTCCGACAGTACAAAGCTCGCACAAGTGGAAAAAGTGGTAACAGACGAAGTCATGGCATTGGTGGCAAGTTATTGCGGTGGGCAAGCGCCCGAACCTGCAGAAGTTTATTCAAAGCGATGGAGCTCTGCATTTTGCTCCCAAGGACTAAAACTGCAAGAAGACAGTATATTTTTAGCTCCATGGCGTCTGACAGTCTGCGGCGACTTTATCAGGGATAATTCTGCCTATTCCACTCCGTTGGAAGCTGCAGCTTTGAGCGGTTTAGAGGCTGGTGAACGGACCGCTGCGTTATGGGTCAATCAGGAACAATGATAGCATGTGCATGAAACGATACCATTGATCTAGCCGCCAAGCAAAATGGATGGAACCCACTTGTTGAGCATTGAGCATGTGCTGAGTGCTGACTGAAGGAGATTTTGTTTTTTTCTCTTTTTAATCCACGCAGGCTTGCAAAACTAGGTTCTTAGTTTTTACTCGTCTTCGCTACCGTAGCTACTACTGGAGCTACTAGTAGAGCATGGCTGTACCAGTAGTTTCTTGGCGGGACAACTCCGGTCCTCAACAATTCTGCAAGTTGGACTGTGCTTTCCATACAGCAATCCCTTACATCAGCGACCTAGCTAGCGTATGCTGGAATAGCAGTTAGTACTGCCACGCGATATCCTATTCACAGATTGCAGTGATACCCCCGATAAAGCCCGATTTACTCTCGCAGTCCAACCACGGTCAGCACTGCGGAAGTCTCCTGAAGCGCGACTGAGACTCGGCCGAGCTAGGTTTTCGAGCCAAAGCTGCCGGTTGGCTCGTTTCGCGTGTTCAACATTTCGTCCAGGGATCAATGACGGCAACAAAATGGGCCAACAAGTCTTGGAGATAACGATCATTGACCCAGCTCTGTCTCCAGACCCAGTTTAGTAGTTTTGGTGATCATCACTTGCAGTGGACACAAAGTCCACAAGTTTGTAGTCTTATCGGTTGGATCCATCACCCACAACCCAAAAAGCAAAATGGTCGCAACGAAAGAACCCACCATGGAGAGAGTTGCTAGATGTGATGACAACATTTTATCCAATTGGGGACATGATCGAGCTGGGTATCTGCCTCATCATCATTCACACAGAATTAAATCGCCAAGGCATGTTCCAGCCAATCTTCGAAGTCGTCGTCAAAAGCATAGCCTCGCGAACAGTCCCAAGATTTGTTCTCCCCATCGAAAACATTACACTTCCGAAGATTTTAACATGCACAGCCCATTCCTAGCTCTTCCGACTCTTTCCAACAAGGCGAACCTGAAGCCTGCTCCCCGCCCGTCATTGAGCAGAAAGTCCAGCCGAAAACTATTGCATCGTCGTTCGAAATCGCGAGATCTCTCTCTACCAGTGCTACCGCTTGGAGGGAGCAATTACAAAGAGCTCAAAGTGTACCGCAACGAAGCTGAATTCTTGATTCAAAATCAACAGAGCTTCACCAATGAGGACTTTGAGGCGGTTTTGGCGGCTCTTGCTGAGGAAAGCAAGATTGATCAAAAGTTGAAAGAGCAGGAAGAAGAGTCGCTAACGTTGGCGCAGGAACTAGCTTCTGGGGAATTCATGGAAGCAAGGCCTTCCACCAGCGAATCAGATGACATGGAAGCTCTTGCGGTGGCTATGCGTGCCGAGATCAATGAAAATGATGCCATGAGACGCCAGGAGGAGGAGTCCTTCCGTTTTGCCTGTCACCTGGTGTCACAAGAAGCCCAAGCGTATGGCCTACTCAACAATCATCATTCCTCCTCCTCATCGTCATCTCCACCATCTCCGTCCTCATCATCCTCATCATCATCATTGTGGAGCACGGGATGCTTCGAGGAAGAGGAAAAGAAGGGAACGGAATCCATGTCTGAACTGTGCAGCTCGTGCTCGACTAATGGTAGTGAGTTAGGAGCCGGTCAAGCCCCCCTGCTGCAATGCCAAGCTTGCCACTTGGACATTGAAGACGAAGAGACCCTTCGCGAATTGCCCTCCTGCGGGCATCACTTTCATGCCTACTGCATCAATCGATGGTTCCTCATGAACAAGAAAGATTGCCCATATTGCCGCCAATCAGTGTAGCAGGTCAAGTCGAAGAGTGCTGTCAACCAGCCAGGGCGCATCTTTACTTTTTTACTTCACATACATGCAGTCCCGGCCGTGGTCTCACTTTGAGGTGTCCTGCAGAATATATATGAGCTATCTTAGCCTTATCCATTCGTGCAAATCTGTCGTCCAAATCTGTCGGTCGTTTTGAAATTGGACCTACTAGTAGTTTGGAGCTGTTGATATCCATAGCAAGGAAGGCATGACTTTAGGGAAAATATAGAGCTGGCTAGCCAGGTTACCAGGAAAGCAGCCACACGCAGGAGCCAATCCAGAGCCAGTCAACCCACTCTACTCCCCGAGCAGCCAACCACAGAAAGAAAGCACAGTGCAATGCTATCGAAACCACACTGGTCATGTACAAATAAGATGCAGGGAAGCTATCACCATTGTAAAATTTGCTTTTGCAAATGGAACGGAATACCGGTACCGGTATTACCAAATAATCACCATTCCCTTTGCTTCTAAAGAAGCAGTCCACTAGAAAGATATCACAGGTTACGCTGGCTTAAAGCTAAATCCTGAAACCCACCCTGTGAAACAAAAAACCGTCAAAAACAGGCAAAGGGCCTTGATTGCCAGGTGGATTTTCAGAAGTTTCAATGACCCCTAACTAAAACTAGGAAGTTTCGTCTAGTAGTGTTAGTAGCTAGGGAGTGATACATACTTGTAGTGGTAAAGAGTTCTTCCGCTGAAAGCAAACACAAATCAATGCATGTGGGCACCATACAGTACCTCGATTTATACTCGACCATGTCGCTGCTGTTCCAGTAGCAACTTTCCTCCTGTTTTCCTTGGTCACGTTGGCTACTTGTTAGATCTTTGATTACGTCCAAAGATCTTCCGCCTCACTGGCGCCTTTCAACCTCGCTCAGCATCGGCGACTAGCATTGTGCGGCAGGGGAATGCAGAATGCAGGTCTGATTTTAAATATATCTTAAAACCTGAATATCAAAATACAGTCGTGCCTGTGATCTCTTATAGGTTTCAAACAAGTTTTCGAAACGGCTCACACCCACCCACCGAAAACCGTTAGGAGCTGGTTGGAGCTGGTTCCAACATTAAGAGCTGATTCACGAACCGCTCCTAAGTTTAAGAGCTGATTCACGAATCAGCTCTTAGCCACAGAAGCTGATAAGAGCCGATTGGAGCTGGTTGGAGCTGGAACATGGCAATGACGTGACAGCGCCAAGACTAGTCTTCTGAATGCCGCCGCAAGCTCCAACTACTACTAACATCTTTCGCACATGTATTCTTACTGTCTATGAACCTGCAAGCAGCAAGAGCAGCAGCAAGAGCAGCAGCAAGACAAATAATCGAATGCAAGATGTCGGACTCAGATGAAAGCATTGACCCAGATCTCCAGGTACTGACACCGGAGGAAATGCTTCGACATGGGATGCTGTTAGTGGGTTGGAAGGAGAAGCAGCTTAAGAGAAAATCCAAGAAGCGATGGGACAAATGGTGCAATTTATTTGCTGCAGACTTTGGTGCTCGGCCCCACGTGTTGTGCCAAATCTGGGAGGATCTGCAGACAACCGATGTTGCCGAGGCCTATTTGCAACCAGCTGAACGTAACCTGGATCACTTCCTCTACACCATGCACTTCTTGAAGGCATATCCCACAGAGAAACAGCGGCAGAACAAATGGCACATTTGTGATCGAATTTTGAGAGATACAGGGTGGCTGATAGCAGGAAAGATTGCTGCCATGAAAATATTTAAAATTGTTTGGCTAGATACGGAAGATGATATCTGGGTTGGTTCGGTTGACGGCACACATATCAAATCATGGGAACCCACACACGACAAATATCCCAAAGATAGGACTGCATTCTCTTTCAAGCATCACTCCTCTGGTTTCAACTGTGAAATTGCCCTTTCTTTGAAAGAGAGCAAAATTATTTGGATTAATGGCCCCTTCAAAGCAGGTACAAATGATATCAAGATGTTCACATCTGAGGGAGGCCTAGCCGACAAACTCCGCGAGACAGGACAGAGAGTAATTGCTGACCACGGCTACAAAGGTCATGATGATGCTATTAGTAGGCCCAATTCGCTTGATTCAGCCGAGGTTTCCAAATTCAAGAACCGAGCACGATCACGACATGAGGCCGTGAACGGCTTGCTAAAGCACTTCAAATGCACCGATTCAAGCGGTTTTCGCCATGGAATTGAGAAGTTTAGCATATGCTTTGAAGCATCGGCCGTCGTCACCCAATATCGAATGGAATTGGGTGAGCCATTGTTTGAAATCTAGAGATAATAAAGTACCGGTAGGCATCATTTTACTATCTTGTTGTTTTGTTGTTGTTACTAGTGCCTATCACGGTCCTCCGGCATCGACGTATCCCTCACACCCCATCATCATCATAATCAAAAAACTCGTCCTCAGATTCACTAGAAAATAGACCATCCAGATCCGCATCAACGTCATCTGGCAGTGGTGGCAAAGCAGATACGTCCTGCTGATCAGAAGAGCTGAGTTCCTCCTCAAGACCAAGAGCTCTGCGTTCCGCGACATCGCCATCGAATTCCTCCATCAATGTGTCAATCATTTGTTCTGTTCCATCCTGCTCTGACCTTGCTTTTGCAAGTGCTTGCTTTCTTGCACTTACTCGTCGCTTCTCCGAAACTGTCATTCTGTTCTCACTATCAGCGGTCTTTTTAAACATCGCTTTCCGAGTAGCCTCGATATCCTCGGATTCAGTCTTCTTGCCGGCACGCCCAACAAGTGATCCGGCCATCGATGCAGCTTGCGACAGTAGCCCCATGGATGCTGCTGGTGCTGGTGCTGGAAGTAGTTGTGGTGCTGGAACTGGAACTGGTGCCACGAGAACTGGTGCCACGAGAATTCTGGTTGGTGCTGCAGGAAAGAGACTGTTGCCTGGTTGCCCAACAACGATTTGGTTGAGAGCTTGGCCAAAAGAATCCACAAAGTCTAAGACAAATCAGACAGACACATTTCTTTATAGTTAGTAGTTGATAGTATTCGTATATTTCATGCAGCCAGCTTCCTCAACATGCATTACAAACCTCCAAATGCATCATCGACTGCCTTCGAACCGCGCTTTGTGGCACCATCCAAAACAGTCTTCTTGGCCAAATCAGCAAACACAAAAGTGATTCGAGTGTGCAAGTCCAGCACATCTTGATTGCTTTTATCCTTCTTTCCCGTTCCCTTGCGATACAAAATCATCTTCATCGCAGCGGTGTCGACTTGCTCTCCAGCAGAGCCAGTCACCCCAAACGGCGCTTCGGTAAGCTTCACATTATCACTGAATTGCAAGCGAAACTTTTGGTACACATCCTGTGGAGGCAATCGCCCATAGGCCGTAAGAGCTGCCTTGTGGCCAGTCTTGATTTGAACGTTAGCTTGACGGGCTCCATATTCGGTTGCATCCAAACGAAACCCAGCTGGGAGGACTGGCTTGTAGAGGACGGCAAAATTTGATCCTTCCATATACTCGATTTTGTACATCTCTTCATCAACGT